TCACCCCGAGAGCACCGTGGGAGTTGGGGAAAGGAGTCACTTTGCCCCCAGCTCACCTCAGGGACACAGGAGACCTCCAAAACCTAGCGGCTGAGGGGGTGTAAACGGGGGTTGTGGGCCCCCCCCCACCCTGAGAGTCTCCAACCCAGGAGGGGGGTATTGCACCTGGGGGGGCCCTTTCTGGGGGGTCGGGACCCCCAATAAATACTCACAGCCATGGCTGTAACCCTGCCCCCCTATCTAGCCTCGTTTTGGGGGGTTCACAGAGACATCCCCATCCTCCCCCTCATCCCACCCCCCCCCGGAACCGCAGGACAACCCCGACCCCCTCCCCCAACACTTGAAGCACCACAAGTCCTGGGGTCAAACTGAGGCCAGGGGGGCCCAGCACTGGGACTGGGAGGCATGGAAGAGGAAGGGGGAGTGTCCCCACCCCCAAATCCCAGCCTTTTACCCCTTTTACCAGTGGCCTCTGGGCACTCATGGAAAAGGGGTGGGGGTGACTGGGGGAAGGAGGTGAGGGCCCCCCCCAGCTCCATCACCACCCCAACATTCAGGTGAGCGAGTCCTGTTGGTTAAAAAACCCCTCGGCCCTGGAAGCTGCTGGGGGTCAGCACCATCCCTGCCAGCAGGGCCACTCCGGGGAGGGGGCCCAGGAGTGGGGGTGGAGGGGACAAAAATGTGGCCCTCCCGAGAGTCTAGGACATCTTCCAGATGGTCAGCGACGCAGTGAGGACACCAGCAGCAAAAATGGTGATGGTCTGCCACGTGGGGGTTCCAAAGTGGGACAACAGCCCTTCCTGGGGAAGATACACAGGAAAGGGAATCACTACGTGTTTSGGGTTCCCAGACTCCCCCCCAGAACAATCAGACTCAAGGGGAGTTGGGAAACGGGGAATGAAGAGGAGGACTTGGGGAAAAAGGGGATGTTAGGAAGGGGCAATTCCCGAACAAGGTATCGCCCCCCACCCCAAGGAATGAGGGATTTAGAGGGCACACCCAACCGCCCTTCGCCGTCCGAGGGCGAACTGAATGGCGCTTGGCCGGCGTCGCGCTTTTAAGGCGGTGCTCGCGCCTGCGCGATGCGGCTTCCCCGCGCCGCCACGGGGACCGGAGAGGGCACCGGACGCCGACGGAGGCAAGCGGCGGCAGCGGGGGGGGGGCGCATTTTGTCTCCCAAATTCCAGTTTCCAGTTCCCACTTCCCAGTCCCCAATTCCCACTCAAATCCCAGCTTTCCAACCCCAATTCCCATTTCCCATGCCTGTTTCCAGTAAAATCCCAGCTTCCTAGTGCTACTTCCAGGTGCAATCCCAGTTCCCTCTTCCCCGTTCCCACTTCACCCCCAATTTCCCTGGATCTCCCCCCCTTTTCCAAGAAAAAAAATCCACAGCCGCCTCAGCTTTATTAATTTTTTTTTCCTTCTTTTCTTCTCTTCCTTCCATGTATTTCTTCTTTTCCACTTTTTCTGCAGATCCTGGCATTGGGAATTTCAGGGGCTTTGCTCATGCACTACATCCCAGAAAAATCCCAGGAGCGAAATTCCCACCAAACTGTTAAAAACGTCTTTAAAGTAGCAGGAAAATTCAACGTCTCTCACTGGGAATTTTCTTCTTTTTTTGGGGGGAGGGTCCTTAAATCCCAAAATTCCCCTCCTGGAGGCCACAAAATCCCAGATTTTCACGCCAGAATCGCTCCTGGAAGGAATTTCTGCAGATTGTCCAGAGGTTGGGAGGGTGCGAATTCTGGGATTTTGGGGTGGTTTTTTTTTATTTTCACAATAACTTACGGCGGCTCCAAAAGTCCTCTATTTTTCCATCCATTTCCTAGGGGTTATCCCAAAAAAATAAAGAGGCACAAAGGGGGGGAAACCTAACTGGAAAAACCTAGATCCACAGGGAAAAAGAAGGGGGA